CCTTTGGCGAGTGCTGTATCAGATGTTCAGATCAAGTTCTTATCACCGAGCCTATAATATATGGGTAAAACATTCACTCACCACTGATGCGAGTAATAACTGCGGGTAGATTGTTAACTCTATTGGGTTAGGGATGAAATTCGAATTACCTATCGCTCACAACCTTCCATTTATACATTCTTTATATTAATTTATTGAAATGTCGGTATGTACTAATTTATTTGTTTACTTTGAATAGACGTTAAAACTACCAGACCGTTTCACCTATAGAGACCCTACTTTTCAGTGAATAACCACGGCAGTTTTACTGTTTTTTTGAAAAATACATGCCTTGGCGATGCGAATGGGTGTTTTCAAATTTTCCTAGATGCGTAGCCTGCACAATACATGAAGTAGAGTCCTATTACATTCTCATAACATAACGGGAAAAAACTGTGTTTACTGTTACTGTACTGTTAACTGTGTAACATTGCTTATCTATAAGTATATCAAGCTCGGAAAAATCTAACTGTCACATTGATACTTACCAGGTTTTGAACCAACGATCTCATACTTGAGAACCATGAAAAGCGGCCACTTTTGCACATTAATCTCGTTGTGAAGCTCGGGCCACGACGCGACGCGACGTCGGAAGGGGACAATTTCCCAGTTAATCTGCCAAAAAACGTTTTAAATGTAAAAAACTAGGTCTTAATTGCAAGTAGAATACAAATAAATAATCTATTTAATACCTACTGAACACCTAAAGAGAATCTAAGTTACATGTGTTCCCTCTTTGCCGGTTTACCGCCGTGGGATCTCGGTGCGAAACCCTGCTGCCGCGCCCGATTAGTGCGTGGTGGGATGAGCTTCAGCGCGATCTCATGGCGGAATGGCAGCAACGACTGTTGCAACCGAGGGCTGGACTCGCTGTCATTGCAGCGGTATGTGCCTTCTTTAAGGAACAGCTTGATACACGCTACCCGGTCCTCACCTACCGCCTGACGCAGGTGCTTACCGGACGCGGGAGTCTCGGTAGGTTCCTGTTTCGGATTAGGCGGGAGGAAAGGCCTGGGTGTCAACACTGCGAGGACCGCTCGGAGGACACGGTGGAGCTTACGGTGGTGCTATGCTCTGCGTGGGCTGAGCACCGCGTGTTCTCAAGGATGTGATCAACGACGGTGACTTCTCGCGTCCGGCTCTAGTTCAAACTAAGATACGGAGCGAGGGGTATTGGATGCCGTCTCCTCCTTCTGCGAAGCAGTCATGTAAGCTAAGGAGGAGGCGGGGCGCATGAAGGAACGAATCTCGTCATGCCCCAGCCTTCGCGAAAGTCATTCTGGGCGTCGGGGATCGCGAGATGATGTCTGACCACCGTAAGCACGGGCCTGCGGACGGAGAGCACGGATGACTCGCCGCCAGACTAGAACCAGACCCGAACGTACGGCGCGTCGCGTTCCTCGCGCGCCTCAAGGAGCCATCAGACCACCACAGATGGCCCAATAGGGCTGATGCCGATACGGAGCCGCGAAGGGCTTAACGGGTTGCCAGTGCAGGAGTGGTTTTTAGTCAGTGAGAGTCTGATACTCCCTCTCGCCTCACACGGGAGGGAGAAGTCATTGGATGATTCTCCTTCCTCAAAAAATAGTTACATGTGTTTGTAAGTACAAACTGCATGATGGAAGTGAGTAATACTTCACTGAGCAATTCTCTCCATTCACTGCGACACATGCACATATTTTTAGCATAACTAGAATCTAGTATGTTCATGTTGTTATGCTTACTCGTGTATTTAAAGTTTAAATCTAGGTAGATTCATGAGGTAAGTATGATATAATGATAAAACATGTCGTTAAAGAGGTTTTATACTAAGGCTTGTCATGCATGAGGGACTGTAATTACATGAGACCAATGTAACATTTAAATTTCGCTAATTGGACAGAAAAGAGAATAACCGATAAGATTAATATAGTTCAATGTGACTTTCATTCAATGCATAGTACATTCCATTACCTCAGTAACCGTAGTAGTTACCGAAGCTCTCAAGCTCTCAAGCTAAGCTCTAAGCTCTCAAGCTTCGGTGATCGCAATATTTGTACCTACCAAAATACCAAAATACTAAAATCTGAACAACCCTCTAAATGTCGTGGTGGCCCGGAGGTTTAAGACGCCCACTTCTCATGCATGAGGGTGTGGGTTCGAAACCTACAAACGGCAAGTACCAATGTGACTTTTTCCGAGTTATATGTACTTTTTAAGATTATTTAGACACCACTGACAAACGGTGAAGGACACCTGAGGAAATCATCGTGAGGAAACCTGGACTTATAATTTCTAATTATAAGTTTGAAATCGCCAACCCGCATCAGAGCAAGCGTGGTGATTAACGCTCTAACCTTCTCCGTGTGAGAAGAGGCTTTGCTCAGCAGTGGGCATTTATAGGCTATTGATGATGAACCTTTAACTAGTCTAATGTGGGGCAAGCCCATCTGCTTACGAAGAACGACATCTTCTATCATATTTTTTCAGTCCTACATGTTTTATCAAATTCAATTTGAAGTTTTAATCTTGTTTTATTTATACGCTTGTCAACACTCTGTTACCAACGAAGAGTGAAGTGATACCACAGTGTCAATGGAAACCTCCGTAAAACAACGCTTGTGTTATGTTTCTTCGTATAAGTATCAAAAGTTACCGGAGATCCAATCAACTTCAAACCCCCGAAAGGCCAGCAACGAACTTACGACAGTTTTTGTATTGAGAGTGCCCATGGACGTCCCCGGACGCTTTCCACCAGGCCAACCGAGTGTTCGTTTGGCAATAAACAATATTAACCGTAAGTAAGTTCCGAAAATTTTAATGTTATGATTTTCTATCTCAGAGTTTTTATTCACAAACTCGACGACTTAATAAGATAAAACCGTTTGAGTGTGCGTAAAATATGTGTGTATTCTCAATTAATTCACTATTCGACAGACGTGTAGTGATATCAGGCGTACAAAATACTTTTAAGAGCTTTCAGAGGCACGGAGAAATAACACCAAATAGATATACATACCTTCGCACGATAGACATACAAGTATTACTTGATATTGTGTTTTGTCCGACTGAAGTATCAAAACTTCGTGGTTCAACACAGTCATACATGAAGTAATTAATATTAAGAATAATTGACACTTTTAATGGCATATACCTACTGATACATATTCCACACAGGTACACATTTTTGTATCACCTTATGAATTGTTGGCTGGGAGGGAATAACACCAACATATGTATCAATCGATCAATTTGTTTGTAAACATAGGTTTGTGTAAGTGAGGAGTTATAAAAGTTTACAGGTATAAATGTTTACGATTTGGCGTAACATAGTTCAAAGTTTGGTATAACAAAGTTCTAGTATTTATTTTACCTAAGAATGTACGTGTCCATAAAAGTCATACTTAAAATAAACGATACACAAAAATATATTTTTTGTTAAACGAATTTATTCAATCAATCAAGCCTTTTCATTTGATATCCATAATGGAGCAGGTTATGAAAAAATATGGTTATAATATTGTATGTTCATTAAAATTAAGAGTGTGTACCAAATATCAGATCGATATGACGTCAGGAAGGGGGTAAAATTCCAATTACTTTTGACCCAAACAAACAAACAAACGGGACAAGCTAAATAAAACCGTTTGAAAATCGTAAAATTACAGATTTTATTAGTAACACAATAACTAAGGTTTGGTTGCATTATTAAGTCTTATTATACCTATATTAACTACATAAAACATTGGTTGAAATATTCTTCAAATCACTATTCAACCGAAGTACTTTTCATATCACACATAACTATATCTATACACAGGGACGTCAACAAGCGTCGTTATTTCCTAAAACTACAATAAATTTACCTTGTCTTTATACTCAATATTCTTCATAGCAATAGTCAATAACATACCTCGTAACGTAAACAGCAGGAAACCTAGCTAATGAAACCTATCTAAGTAGCACCAACCACGTCATTAAAACATCTGTTAAAAAGCCTGCGACACTCATCAAGTGTGGCTAACCTTAGTAAATGCGCCAATGTAGCTCGTAATTAAAAAGCAACAGAGCCACTGTTGGATAGGATGCATGGTACCTACGTAGCTAGGAAATGTACTTTTAGCTTGTTTACTTTCCTACAACATTGATATTCAAATAAAGCTTTAGGTAGTATTAAAACATGTCATAAAAATATTTTAAACTTATGTTCTCTACACATATTTAAAATACTTGTTTGGTCGTTTTACCAATAATCCAATGCTGGTCTCAGATTTGATGCTGGTAATACTTTCATTAAACTTACTTTGAAAGCAGGAATCAAGAATGTAAATAAACAAACTTGTCAACGCAAGTGTTTGGATCTCTGTTCCCGCTGTAATACATGTAATGGGCCACCCCTTACCTAGTCTGCTGCGTCACCAGAGCTGTACGCAAAGGTAAAGCGTCACAATGATTAGCAACAGCGACCGCTAGGCCGCCGGACGCTCTAATCACCTTGACGTTAACCGATACTAATTACAACTAGGGAATCTTGAACGTCCTTGCCATAGGGTGCCAGCTGTTGTAGATTTCAATGAATTTGTCTAGGTCTAGGTCAATGTCATACCTATATCGTATATTTTTTATTTCGAGTGTTTACAAATTTACAATACCGGTAGCATTCGAGAAAATAAGTGAATAAAAGCAGTTTGATATCAATACGAGTATTTTTTTTGGGAATTGTAAATGAAGAAGTGTAATTGAAAATATCAAGGTGTTAATAAAACATGAGCGGTGGCGTAGTCATATCGGGCCGGCGTCAAGATAGAGCGTTTAGAGCGTTTGTCGCTCAATAAGGCTCCCAGTGAGGATCTGAGCGTATTCGTAGCGAGCGGAAGGAGGCGGCCGGGCCGCGGTCGATAGACGCTGGGGCGCAGGCGCGGGTTCTTGCCGCCGGAGGGGCTACAAGAACACGCCAGTCCGCCGGCAAGCTGATACGCGGCTGCCGGCAGCCAGCGTCCGCAAGGACGCACGCGGACGCGCAAAACATGCATACGTGCCGTCCGCGCGGCGTGCACAGCATCGCGCTTGTGCTGGCTCTCGCCATCGCCTGGTTGCCTCATGCTGACCATGCCGCGTGAGTATCACCACTTCCATCACCAGGTTCTCGTCGTGACCATCGATCTTCTTGCGTGACTACGACGCTCAGCTCGCGCGCACCCCGCACGCACTTGAGAAGCCATAGCGTGCGTGTAAATCTCTCAAAGCCGAGAGTTCACATTGCTCGACGCGCGTCTGATTTGTTTATAACACGGCCTCGATGCTAATCCCTCGCAAATAAGCTAATAAGCAAAGGGGTTGGGGCTCAAGGCTACTCAAGCTTATTTACTTGCTTATTAAATAGTGTATCTCAAAAAGAAAATAACGAGCTGGTCTTCATTTAGTTAAATTAGTTATTTTTTTCTCAATTAACTGAATCGTAATATAGTCTCAAAATAAATTTGGTTGTGTTTCGTATCGGTGCACATAATTGTTATACTTTAGTAATACTCATGCAATTTACCTATTCGTCGAGCGCTCGTTCGGGACTCATGAGAACAATATCGAAGAAATTGAGACCGCCATTAGGCCCACAGAGAACGATTTTTCGTCGCAGCGCTGATTTATTTTCTCTTTCATTTATAAAATATTTTGTAAATTATCTAGTAGGTGTACGGAGAGTGCCTAACTTTGTTTAAACGTCGTTGTTCATGCAATCATTGAAAAATGTGACAAACTGTGCATGTAACAGTTAGAGAGAGAAATCTCAGCAGTTGAGACAGCGAGAGGACTGACCTTTGGATTGTAATAAAACATCACATGCCGTGCCTAAGTAATTTATATGATTATTTTGGATAATTAACTTGAAGTTAATAGCAGACGCCACGTTATAAAACTTATCAACATTGAAGAGAAGTATCGGTCGTAGTTTACAAAAACAGACAGAAAATCACAACTGCAAATCAGTGTTGCTATTGTCATTTTCTGTTTTCAGATTGTCAAGATAAAAGAAGAATAATGTTACGTACTGTCTGTTTATTTACATACGGTGAACATTATGACAGAAACATAGTTGTTTAATAAATAAATTGTATTTACGTTTGTGGTTATTGATGTACTGACCAACAAATATGCGGAACGTTCGACATTCCCCTTGACCTTTACCTACATTAATTGAAATACGTTGTTCGCCAATATTCTGAATATTGCACAACCGCGCAATTAGGCATCACCGCGTAATTATTATCCCGGTATCGATGATGTGCACGTATCGGTTACTTTTCAGTAAATAAATAATTACACAGTAACCTTGATGGAAATGTTCGCGTTTAATATTGTACGTTGAAACTTTCGCTCTCATGAATTAAAAGTGAACGTGAAACTGATATGTATAATCTGCCCAAAGTTTCATTTCGTATCAATCCTACATATTCATCCATGAAACGTAAAATACTCGTCAGGATTTACGATAAATAAGTGCAGTTGCACCTGAATATTCTCGTGTATTTAAATTTATTTTCACTTTTGAATATTGAGTTGTTGAGCTTTCACTCTCTGTGAACGAAAGTAAAAGCATGCGGGAATAAAATAGGGCAGAAGCCGAGTTAAAGCATTGCTGCGAAGAAAACTTCTTCAGAGAAATATTTACCTGTAATTTCTACAATTCTAAGTTCAAGTTTATTTCATAGTAACAGAACAAGTATCGAACTGAAGATGTCTGGCTTTAAGTACTATTTATCAAGAAAAAATGTTATATTATTTTTTAATGAGTTGGTACTTGAGACACGTCTGATGATACATGAGTGGTTTGTTTTGATATCTAATGTGATAAATCAATAACTTGTTGTTTTTTCGAAACAAACATATTTTCGTTTAAGTACCTTGTTCAGAAAGTTTAGCAATAAAATATCGGAGGTAAAAAATGGAGGACAAGCTACAAAAGCCTGCGAAGAAGGAAAGGGTAAACATTGAGGTGGTTGAGGAGAGCGTTGTTTGTTTATAAATTAACAGTTGCTCCTGATTATCGACACCACTTTAGTTTACAATAAAATTTGTCTTGTTTAAAGTAGTGTGGGGGATTAAGTAACAGCGTAAAACACACACCCACGCACGATAATTTTACCCCATCTAATAGGGACAACACATTAAATGTCAGTTCGTTTTTGATAAATAAGCTCGTCATCTCCTTATTAATATTTATGCGATTAGTATATAAAGCCTAATTAAATTAATATACATATTTGAATAATCAGTTTAACGTACCTACTCTGTTTGCCTTCATACAGATATTGAAGGACAAATTATATAAACAAATGTTAACATCGAAGCTGAACGTTGAAATTCAATAACGATTGCACCTAAAGTATTGATCGGAACTTTGATGTGTTATGCATACAGTGAATTCGTACTGACCTCTGACTTTTAAACGTACAGAGGTACTCCGTTGTACTTGTAAATATTTCTACACATAAAGAAAACGTTATGTACTGTTTCAACGGTAAAAGATAACTGTTACGTATATGTTTGGAGATTAAAATGCATTATTTATATAAAAGCTACGGAATAGCGATAATTGAGTATTGTCCTTAACCAAAAATAAATTATTTCGACTATTCAATACAATAATGTTGTTTAATAAAAATAAAACAATCACACATTCATTAAACTGTCAAACACCAAGCGGTCACCGGTGACCGCAACCTATTGTTCTTTAGTTCGAGTTAATTGATTTTATGACCAACTTAATTTTAGTATATACAAAATAAGTATGTTGTTTGACGCTTAAAAAAACGTGACGTTACAATACGATTGTGTATCGTACAAAATTCATAGAAGACTGTCGTTTTTGACGGTTCGAAAAAAGTATTGAATTTGACTAGTTGTCATGTACCGAATTATTATATTTTGGTTGTTGCTGTTGTATATTTAAATAAACGTTAATCAATATTGTGGCGGTAAATTCGTCTTATCTAATGAGGCCTAGGTACTGTTTTTTGTCCCACTAGGAGACACTGTTAAGTGAAGTCTATTTGTACAAGCACTATTGCTGTCACAAATGAAATGTTCAATGGATAGAAGACTATGTAATTTTCTAACGGTTAATAGACCTTATATGTCCCTTTTTGGAATTCTGATGCGATATCTTCATACCTAAAAAAATAGAAAAGTAAAGAATAGCGCCTCGTCTTGGTTTTGCCCGGGTGTCATTTCCCAATAATTATGGTCCAGGTGTATGTCTCGATATTTTCTTTTTATACCTACCAACCTTGTGTCATCAGTAACTAAAATAGGACACTACAGTAAAATTACACATTAGCACATACATTTTTATTTAGGTACATACTACCTTCTGCCCGCGACTTCGTACGCGCAATTCCGTTTTCTCGCGTTACCGTATGATTTTCAAGACTTTTTCTGTCTTAAAAACCTTCTAATAATAACAAATACAACAAAATATTAGTGAAATCGGTCCAGCCATTCATGCGTGAGGTCGTGACCAAGGGGAAATGGAATTAATTTTTATATATGTATATAGATAGATGCACCATCATCTACACCCTTCATGGCGCGTCACTATAATGTTTATGCGATAACATAAAATTCAAATCCACGAACTGCAACGAATCAAATATCTGACCCTGTACAAATATGCCTAGAGTTAAATAACAAGTAAAATGGGCTTATTCAGAATGTTGTAGCGTAAGATCTCGGAACAAAGAAAGATCACTACAGAAGTTACAGCAGCGCTTCGTTCACAAACGATGTCTGCGGTCGTCCGCCCGCCACACCGACAACTTTTTCAATGTTGGCATTTGAACTTTTCTCGGTCCTCCTATATAGAAATAAAACTAAAGAAAATAAGTACCTGCATTATGAAGGACCCTTGTTACGGAACCAATTAGTTGTATTGAAGTATTAGTCACACCGCGTCAGTTGAGTGACTAGTTGGAACTTTGTCTGCTACTGATTTATAGTCTTGGGTTATTAATAAGGTATCCTCCAAGGACTCAAGTATATTTCGTTAGGTGTGTTTGGTACTTTTGGTGTATTGGTTACTCTATTTAAATAGTTAACATTATTTTTATTATCACAGTTTGTGAATATTATTATATATTACCTATATATGAATACCTACGGATAAAGTGTAAATGAATATTGCTTCTATATTTAACGGATTTCATTTTATTAAAGGAGATAACACAAACTTCACAAAATATTAAAAATAAATAAAACATAACATAACATCACGCCTTTTACCCCCGAAGGGGTAGGCAGAGGTGTACATTATGGCACTTAATGCCACTGTAGAATGTAACACCCACTTTTCACTTTTTGCGTTATGAGTCCCATGTAATAAATAGGAGGTGAGCCTATTGCCATATAACGGGCACAATTTGCCTCTACTATTTTTTTTTAAAACCCCGTCATACTTTGCCCGACTCGGTAATCAAACCCGAGACCCCTTGCCCGGTAGTCGCACTTGCGACCACTCGGCCAACGAGGCATCATAATGAATAATAATAAAACATCAAACACATACTCACACATACAAAAAAGGAAAATGCAAGGTAATCGCTTTGAATAGAGGTACAACGTAAACTGAAGGTATCCAATGTTCGTATTAGAGCATTACAAAACGAGCATCTGTGTAGTTGTGCACTCGTGTCTACGTTTTCAATGGCCATTCATAGCTAGCTTTAGAGACGCATTCAAACGTATCACAGTGTCACATGCAGGCAGAGTAATTACTTAAGTTGGTAGCTAGCCGGAGTCTAGTCTAGCTACTAACTTGATCTAAATCACGGTCAAGATCAAAATCTGTTTACCAACAAGCTCTTAAGATAATTACGTATCGAACTTGATTAGTAATTGGAGCAAACTTAGCGTCAAGCGAGTAATTTACGTCATCGTGTAATTAACTGCTGACATGACGCTCCGAGCAAACGTTGCAGTTCGAACAGTATAATTATATCAGTTAGTAGTAATTATATGACAGTTTTAACAAGAACTCAATACACAAATTTCTGGCCTATATATTGTTGCCGTTTTTTAAGTTAGGTTGCCATACCTACTTCAACTATAATATATTGTTATAGA